ATCTATATAATGGAATTTTCACGTAATAAGCGTTTATATGATATCGGAGATTGATTTTCGGACAATATGAAAATTTGAAAATGTTGGACAGTGTATCTAACGGTGGTAACTAGTGGTAACTAGAAAAAAACCGATATTGTTATCCTAGTAACTTTTTGATGCTTCAGGTGTAATCGGCAAACTCCGCATGCGCTTTACTCCAAAAAAAGCATCAGCCATATTGGTGTGTTGTATCGCTGTCCTCAGTAATTTCGAAGATCAGTGAGGTATTTCTCTCGTTTACCACCAGATTTATTTAATAACTGCCGTATCGCGGTCAACCGGGTGTGTGCACCGTGATATTCACTGGGAATAGATCGTCACTTGTGCAGATTTATGACAATCGCCAGCGGAAAAAGTTTGGTTAATGTTGCCACCTGGGCTCACGGAAATCGGTCTGTTTAAGAACATGTCGTAAATAAATGCGTACTATTCTCATCGGGTCGAGGTATTCGTAGAGCATTAACACCACAAATACGCACAGTGACATCCTCACGTTCGATGTTACCGTCGCCGTTAATTCATTTCGAGGGAGATCGCGACCCTGCGCGAATACTTTGCCACCGTCTGTCGTTGAGCTCGTATCTCCGTTCACATTTGCCCCGTTCTTTTTCTACACCCGAACGTCTAGCGACAATAACACCGCGTTCATTGTGTTTCGAATCGTGATTCAAAAATAAGCACAAAACGGTCAATTTCCGTCGAGCAACAGGTAAAAATTGTCGATAGGATTTTCCACGATGCGTCGTCGAACATGTATGATTATTCTCGGTCATTTAAATTTACCATTTTCGTAATTCTGAAAAATTCATATTCTAATCATTTCTTCGTGGGAAGTCAATTAATTATATCTTATAATCTTTTAGTACATTGGGAAATGATTGATGACAAAAAATATTACTCGCCTTTTTCGTAATCTTTAACAGTGTTCTTATAATAAAATGTATTTTCTTTCAGCGAGTAGTTCGTCATGACGGATTCTATGAAATTTGGTCCAGAATGGTTTGTCATTTTCTATAATCGCTTAAACATTTTTTTATCCTCTTTGTTTATATTTTTTAATTCGTCATACACAGGTTGCGCAATCTGTCAGGAGACAGTTGCAATAGCAGCAGCAGTGGAGGAGGTAGTACGAGTTTGAGTACTCCACGTTATCAATTAGCCGAACATAGATACGGACGGGAAGAAATGCTGATATTATTCGACCGCAACTGCAAGCCCCCGGAACCGTTGACAACTTTCTCATCGTTGTATGTCGAGAAAACTCAGTTACCTTTGGCTCTTATACAAATGACAGAAGACGAAACGGTAATTTACAATTTTAAGAGATATTCCCTTCATATTTTATGTGCCAGTAAAATAAATTGGTCAAATCTAATAATTAGAATGGAGATTCTCTGTGTTTGTAGAAAATGGCCCAATTTCTAC